ATGGACACGTGTAAAAAGCTTCCAAAGTAGGGATTAAATTTTAAAAATTTATGATTGTGGTTTTAATTCTTGTTTCATTACATTTTATAGCAGGATCTCTACTTCACTTTAAAGGTAATAATTTTTAATACTCTTGTTCTATACTGCATTGCTATTCAGCATTTTTGTGTTTGGTGTAACCCAATCTAAACATACTAAAATTATTTCCTACTTTCATTATGTTCTTTTTTTTCCATATTATTTGACTGTGCCATTGATATAAGGACAACAGCAGCAGCTACTGTTTTCAAGTAAGGCTCTACTTCTAAGGTTTACCTCTCTCATAAGTTTTAGGCAGTTAAACCATCATTTTATAAACCTACTCAAAGCTCTATAATGTCTCGCTGATACGAGCACACCTTAATACAAGGGAGCTTTTGGAGCTATTTGGTAACCAAAACGATGTTATAAATTCCCATCTAACGACAGAACCAGATATTAACATCCTTAGCTCGAGCATTCTCAAGTTGTTTTCATGGGCAATTATTGTTATCGTTCTTCTTCCAAGATACTTTTGGGATTTCAGCTTCCCTTACTCTGGGCTGAGAACGTTTATTTTAACAGTACAGTAGATATTTGCTGTAGCTACAATCATCCCCACTGCCTGGTCTCCTCGACACTAAATCAGCTAAATTTGATTGTTAAACATTACATTGGAGTCATGATTCTTAGATGTACGGTTTCTTAATTATTAGGATATTCGAGTAAGGTCAAAAATTACATAGCATTATGAGCGGATTTCATGTAATGAAAAGTAAAAAATAATGTGGTTTCCAAGCACGTGGTTCTGAAATATACGCATTTTTTCGTTTAATAGCAATCAGTATGGTTACATTAATCAAACAATCATGTTTTTAAGACTGATTCACTGACAACACTAGAGTCATTTGTATCTTCACTTGCTTATGTATGCACTTCAGTATATCGGAAAGTATGGCTAGATTTCTGTAATATTACACATTGACGGGTTGTTGTGATTATACTTCTTTCTCCGTGAGGCAGATATAATTATTATTAAATTTTTGAACTAATTTTGAAACCAATTCCCCACCATATTTGAAGATTTTACAGAAAACCTATCACATCTCTAATAGATCAACTATCCGATATAATTATTCTTGGTTTAATTAATAACCATAGAATTTGTGACGAAGTTCCATCCCACTGACTTTTTTAAACCATTTTTATTAACTATTTATTCAATAAATTACTTGTAGTTCCATTAATTTTATGGTTAAGGCACCCCTAGTAACATACTAATTACAAAAATTATGCCAATATGGCAGTTAATCCCACCAATTACCGATGTGGTTTTCTATGTATCTTAAGAAAATGGTGAATGTAACCTTCATTTTTTTTTTTCTGTTAGTTCTTCACACTAGATGTAGTAAAAGTTACATTGAGAATTGCAATATACAAGCCCCATCAGTAGTGAATAGTATATAAACAAATAAGTTATTTAAAGTTTAGAAATACTGTTAGGAAAAAATGACCCAAAGGCTCTAGTTTCTACAACCAGTTAAGTTTTATTTACCATTTCCAACATAAAATAACAGAAGTTACACAAAGTTTGCTGTATAGTTTGACTCAAAGATTTCTATTGAGTTAACATTGATGGTATTGCTTTTGGGATGTACAGAAGTACAGGAAAAATAAATACTAATAACAGACAGATTTGCCATCCCCAAAGCCCAGCTTTGTATGATCACTGACAAAGCAAATAATTATAAACTAGGTATTTTACAATGGAATGATTGTTTTTAGGCCTAGATATCTCAGCAGTTAGAGACTAATATATCCGGTAAAGAATCTCACCAAAGTTGTTTCCTAGAGGTTCTGGCTACTGTAGGCAAACCAAATGATCTACTTAAGGAAATGTCTTTGATATTCATGTTAATCTGTCTGTATGGTCTTATCTCAATCTTCAACAACTTTCAACATAGTTGAAAAAAGATACCACACAGTCTAAGTACAGCTAACAATGTACACACATTGGACCTATAGTGTAACAACTTTCTAATAAAACACCGTAGCTCCGCTTAAATTGTAATATTTTACATGTAACCTAATGTTGACCAATAGCTGAAAAAGTACATCTCCATGCCTCCCCTCTATATACACTTCATTATACTGCAGCTATATTTTAGTTGTAATTACACCTTTGCAGTTATGTTACTAAATGGCAAGTTCATTTTTGGCAAACACCAGCAAATTCACATGTTATATCATGTTTTAATTTGATAAAATGGTAAATATTCAGTTCAAATTAGGATAAACTAAACCAATATATTCTTTTAACTGACTTACAACACTTGATATCAAAACCAATGCTACTTTTTTAAGTATGACAGAAAGAATAAACATTATGTTTAAGGCTCTCACTCACTGTATATATTAAGAAAACATTATTTTTCTGAACAAGTAATTCAATAACTTTGTGCTGTACCAGTTTCTTTAAAAAGAACAAACAGTAAATAACATCTTCACACCAAGTATTATACTTATATCATACTGGTGATTATACTCAACTTAACTAAATTACACACACAGCTGATGGTTTTATTTCATAAAAAACAAATATCTTCAACTGCTTGCAACTCGTAGGAACTACTAACATTGTACTTTCCCAATATTTGTATATAAACATCACATTCTTATGTGTACTTAAAAGTTTAGAAAACAATATCTGGTAGATGTGTCAAGTTGAACAATGTATTATTCACTATCAAACTTCATATATGTGCTATTCAAAACATAACGAATCTTTTCATACTCTTTGCTGTAAAAAACAATTTTTGAGTGGTCAGGCCATTTCTATGGGGGGTCTGGAGGCATGCCCTCCCCGAGAAAATGTTTGAAAATTTCATTCTATGAGAATGAATATTGAGTCATTTTAACTACAAATATTACATACATACAACGTAACGTACAGAATTAAAAGAAGCAAGTTTTAATACATAAGTTGTAGCTATATGTGCCAATGAATGGCCTTACCACTTCCTATGCCACCGATACCAATCTAACGTTAAAACTGTGGTGTCACATGAGAAATTGCTACCTAATGAAAATTATATTATATTACAGACCCTTTATTACATTTACCTCAACAACTCTGTTCATTATACATCTGTTTGTGAAACCTTGATATTTTGGGGTTTGTGTTGTATAAATAAGATTACTGTTTGTCCAAAGTACATTTTTCATTCATTCAACAAATCAGTTTTTTAGTATTTACAACTCCTTTGGAATCAGTGTGGAAAATCTATTATTTACAGACTCAATTCTTTTTTTTACTGAAGAGCCATTCTAGTCTGATATGTATAAAATCAAAATACCACCAGTTTAAAATATTAAATCATACTCTTAACCAATTTCTTTTTCTTTTTTTTTTGCTTTTTTATGCAAGTGTTTATAACAATATTCATAAGACAGAGCTGTGCAAGGAGAAAAACCTTTTTAGAATAGTCCTGTTTCCTCTTATTTGTTCAGGGAAGGGATGTTTGTTAAAAAAAATTTTTTTCTTTGAAGATCTTTCGGCAGAGTAGTTTCTTGCATCATCATACTAGCTTCTTACATTTCATTACAATTATACACACCTAAAAATAACAATGGAAAAGAATGTGTCCCCATAAGGACCATTTTTTTGCCCTAAAATCCATCAATTAATAATAAAGTTTTGAGAAGGTAACAATAATTGGTGCTTTTGGCAGTCCCAGTACTGCCCTACCTCCCAACAATCAATATGAAGATTTGTGTAATGTGTTTTGTCAATATGGGGTGCATATTATGGGTATTGTACCACTTTACGAAAAGAAATCAGTTGTTTATGCAGAAACAAACTTGACTTTAACATCGAGCACATGCGCATACCACCACCATATTTATGGTACATATTTCACATGTAATGGGATATATATAAAAACTAGTGTGATACATACACGTGCTCATAAAGTAAGGACAATAAATATGACATAATGAATGCTGAAAATCTTAGCAACTGTGACATCAAATATTCCTATACACTCTCACATTCATAATAGTGACATTGAATAGTCATACTCCTTACTTTTCTCCATTGACCAGCAGACATGCCCAAGTATTGAAAATGGGATGTGACAGTCCACCAACAGTCAAAGGGTTCCTGCCCTATTTCAATACCATGTCACTGGTGCAGCAGGGTGGAATGCAGTAGTTCTGGGGACATAGGTTCTAGTGACGTGAACTTTGTGGAGTTGAACATTTCTATCTACTCTTTCACATCATCTCTGTACTTCATTCTCACTATAGCCATGCTTTCTACAGGTTGCAGGAATAACACTGTGATACTGTGTGTGTTTCTTCCTTAATAACACCCTGAAAAGGTAATCATAGATGTTTTTGGAGTTGCTACCTGCCAGACTTTCATGTATGTTCCAGTGATTGAAATTCATAGTAGGGCCAAAAACAGCTCTTTAAGGGGACCCCTCCTTTTTAACATTTTTTTTCAAACTATTTTATCAAATTTAGACAGGTACAAAAAAAAAGTTACATTTTAAAAAGACTCACCAACAATGTTTCACAAAAACTCTTATCTAAAACATTTAATCTTGGCACTAGAAGAAACAGAGAGAGATATGAATAAAACATAGTTACAAACTGTCAAATTCATTTTGTGATATGTAAATAGAACATTTTAGTTTTTACAGTTTTAGTTATATTTACATATCAAACAAAACTGTTCGCATGCTTTTTTTATGTGTTTAAAATAGAAGAACTTTGAACCATCACAGAAGTGTCATTATGTACGTACATTTACATTTCCGCTAGAAACTACACAAAAATAAGTAACTTCATTTCAGTTTCAATTGATGCACTACAATATTCACAGTCGACTTTTGGATATTTTTCTAGATTCAATATAATAGCTACATATATCTGTGTGTGTGCATATACATAGGCATACATGTATAAATATATATATAGACACACACACACACAAGCTTACTTGAATCAAATGAAACACACAACTGCCACATATCATTTAGTTAACAATGGATAAAACAAGTGTGTGATATTCAAACAGAACAGAAACAATGCTCAACAATAAATACTTTAACAAACTACCTACCAAAAGAAACACAAAATTCTGCCTGCAGATGTTCTATACAATATTACAGTTCTTCTTCCTACCATTCAAATATGGCACAAACAATGTTCTCTCTAAGATAAACTCAACTTTCACAAAACCATCTGACTTTGCATAAATATGGAAATACATATGTAAATGTAAGTACCTGATACAAGATATGGCCTTTCGCATTTATATATATTAACATATGAAATATAGATGCCACAAATATATACTATAGATAAACAGAATACATCAGCAGAGCATGAACAACAGTTTCATTCACATTGTTGAAGTCACTCCCAAGTTTATGGTGATCAAATACAGGGTAGATAAGTTGATGAAACCTTTCTTTGGAACTCTCAAGCCTAAACGTACAAATCTTTTATAGATACAATGACACAAGCCTACATAATATTACAATCTCAGAATGTGGTGGGGTATCTTCTATGCATCAGTTCTATCTAAAACTTTCTGAAAAAAGAAAAAAAAAATCATTATGACCAAAGTTTACTTTTTAAACTCTTCAAAGGTTTTTGACAGAAGGCTCTTCATTTGCCGTTTAAAACTCACAACTAGAAATAAAGAAAAGTCCTAGTAATTTTGTATAGGTATCTCATTTTCACAGACAAGAGATGCTTATTTTATACACAAATTTATGCTTATCAAGCGACATTAAACATACTTCTCCACACGATTAGAATGTTTTCCTCTGTATTCCAGTTACATAAACAAAAGGAGGGAAAAGGCAAAACAAGCACCCCAATTAAAATGCGTAGTATATTTTGGTTGATATTTGATAAATTTAGCTAATACTTTTGATATTACAAAAAAAACAAAAAAAACTACTTCTCCACACGATTAGAATGTTTTCCTCTGTATTCCAGTTACATAAACAAAAGGAGGGAAAAGGCAAAACAAGCACCCCAATTAAAATGCGTAGTATATTTTGGTTGATATTTGATAAATTTAGCTAATACTTTTGATATTACAAAAAATACCAAAAACTTTTCATTTTGTTCTAATGTTTAACACTGAAAGCCTTCAACATGATTGAACAGAAATTTCATAGTTCAAAAACTATGTTTTTTGGTAGATAAGATGGGTAGATGTGGGATGGTGGAATTGATAAAGACGAGACATGCCTTTCATAGTGCTCCAAATGGATCACTGGTATCAGATGGTGAAAGTTTTGAGGATCTCTGCATATTACCCACAGGTTGTTGAGGTTGGATCCCTCCAAAGATTCCCATGGGCTGTTGAGGCTGAGCAATTCCCATCCCCATGGACATATTCATTCCACTACTCATTCCCATACCTGTAGATACCATTGGGGATCTCATTGCATTTCCTACCTGAGAAAAAAGAAGAAACGTAAAAGTTTAAGCTGTAAAGATAAAACTGAGAACTTTTGATGTACTTTCATAACAAAGGATACTGATTCTGTAAGTATTTATTTATAAATCAGAATTGTTTTGTGATGCTAAAAGATGATTTCTCAAATTTACTTCTTTTTTTTTTCTGTTCTCTTCTACTGGTTCTACTATTAAAAAAACAATTCACCTAAATCTACCACCAATTTTGCAGAGCTAACTTTGAGGAATGTTTGAGAACCATTAGATATAGGTGTACTTTTATATAATTTTCATTAAGAAGAAACAAAAACATTCTTAATATCTATCTTTGTTCTACTTATATTAATTGTTTTTTGTTTTTTATATGTACTATTTTATTATCAAAGGTATTTTTTAACTAATTCATAGTCAACCCTTCAGGGTCCAGTAATCTAAAAACTAACATTACACAAATAGCAATAAAACAAATTAAGTATTCAGCTAAAAAAAATAACATTGCTGAACAACATCTCAAAAGTATAGGGAAATATATTTATCAAAACATTATTTAATACCAGAGGCTCTCAAAAGTAAAATCTTAAAAAATCCATACCTTTATCAACCATACTGATCACCTTTTATGAAACTGACTTCAGTTACAAATGTGCAATTCAACATCCAGATATAACAAACTAAACCTGTAAACTGATTTCAATAATGGAACTAGACTAAACAAGTACTAGATATTTTGTTTGCATTATGCATCTTAGTAAGTGCTGATCAAGCTAAAGTAATTAAGTGCAAAATCACACGGAACACGAATAACATAAACATCATGGAATTCTCCTCTAAAAAAAAAAAAGCTAGCAGAAACAGTAACCAACCTGCAGCAAATGTTGGTCATGAAACTGTTTGTATAGCCCCCATACTTCTGTATCAGAGACTGGTCCCAACTGCTCAAAAGTTAAAACATAATGGAGAAAATACCATTACTGTTCAAATATGAATTCTGCAGTATTCCATCAGCTCTGTTCGATTCCCCTGAACTCCCATGAAAAGGAAACAATACTTCATTGGGTAATTACTGCTGGTTTGTGAGGAAAATCTAGATTGTTAGTTGTAACAAGAAACACAAGTCCAAAACGTTCTTGATGGTGACTCTGTGTTTTATGGTGTGATATGACCTTGTGGATCAACCTACAATGCCAATGCTCTCATTTACTTGTACGTACAGTGTATGTCACAAAGATATAGGAGAGCAATTGTCATCTTTGGTGGCTATGGAAACAGACCATCAACAAAAACCATCTTAGAAGAAACAGTGATGATAGTTGTGATAATTTCAGTGAAAACATTGTGCTCTGCTCCAAAAAAAGAGCTCTTTATGACAAATACAAACTATACGCATAAATTCTTCTGCGTGTTGAGTGTAAGACCTTCCATGCCAGAGACAATGCTGACTTATTGTGAAAAAAGTTTTGGAATCTGCAGCAAGCCAACCAACTTTGTTTAGTGGTGAAGACACTGGCCTTTTAGAGATCATACAAAACTCAAGTTCAATGACATATTTTTCACGCTGGAAGCAAAATCTAGTAACAGTGAGAAGAACAAAACAAAGGACTTCATATCATCTTTACACATGCAGTTGGTGGATGTGATATAACATCACATCTCTTTGGTATTGCCAAGGGTCTTCTTCTGAAGTTAAAGACTAGACTTTAGACATCAAACTAGCAAATTCATAAGAGATCGTGCTAGCTGAGGAGCTCTTCTTGCCTTGTACAATGGAAACTTGAATGATGAACTGGACAAGTTGAACCATATTAAATTTACAGAGAAAGTTACTACCATTGTTCAGGCAAACTGTCTTCCTCCTACTCTTCCTATGCAATATATAATTGGAAATAAATTGTTATACAAATATTTTTTGGCCAACTTTGACCATAAAAGCTTTACAATTATCATACTTATGGTTTTTTTAATACACATTTTCCAACAACATAATTCAATATCTTTAATATATTGTTCATGTGTGCCCTTCTGGATAAAAATCCGTTGGAATTGTTTTTATTGCATTATTTTAGAGCACTGGACTATTATTGTTTTAACAACTGTGTACCTCTCTTATCAAAATTCTAATCATTACTACTGAAAGTTGTTGTGAGCAAGCATTTTTGAAGTATGTAACAAACTTACCCCAAAGCTTTGTTGTAGAATTCCAGGTTTTGGTTGCTGAGTAAAAGAGCTACTCATAATACCAGCTCCTGTTCCTCCTCCAAACTGCCCAGCACTACCCTAAGAGTTTCAAATGTATAAATTATTCTAGTCTTAAATATAATAATTGAAGAAAAATAGTATGTGAAACATACGAGATACTTATATGTAAGTAATATTCAAAAGTTATATATTAAAATAAAGCAAACCTGCATTAACAAAATGACCCGTTACACTTTGTATATTTTACCTACGTGTAAGGAAAAATGGTGCCTGTATTGAAAAGATGCGTCATATGAGATCAAAAACTTTTCCCTCGCAGAACATTTTCAGGATTTCAGGATGTTTTCCATTTGAATTTCATAAATGTAAAAGTATCAGTGATTTAGTACGAGACTTTAAAACATTGACTGTAATCACAAGCATTTTTCCTATTTAAATCAAATATTTTTAAAATAGGCATGTATCAAAACGTATGTTTTACAGAGATTACATATTGAAATAATTTGCAGCGTTGTGGGTGGGATGCCTCCATTTTCATTTCCTGTACTCTTCTAAAGATACACCAAGACTAAGAGCACTGAAAAGAATTATATTCAGATCTGTGTGTCTCACAAACACTACTACTGGAATCTCCTAGTCAATAATTATCTGTTTCTTTGGAGTATTTCCAAATTGCTTCAACACTGTACATAACCAACTGTACGTGGTACAAATTTCTTTCACATACCACTAGTTTAGTAAAGAAGGTAGGAATGGAACAATAGAGGTGAATGCCTTTGTGAATTATATTTGAGCTCTAAAATGTTCATTTCAAATACGGTTTCTACATCTCTTATGTTCCTCTGCCAGAATCCTCACTTTGAATCAAACAAAGGACTTGAGGAAGGAGAGTTGTGCTCCTCACCCCTAAATAGCCATTTAGAATGGTCAACCAAAACAGCAACTTTGAATAATATGATTAAAGACATCATGCACATTCAGTTAATGTCCTTAAAGCTGGTCCTTTTAACTCTCTCAACACAGGCTCGGTCAATTTGACCAACCATGTGACCTTCTTGTACTCGTTTAATACATATAACTCTCAATATAGTGTGTATATCTTCACAAAATTTAGCAGACTTTCAGTTAACATTATAAGTTTTTCACATAAAAAATATCATATTTTTAGTAAAGTATTTTTAAAAAACAAAATAAAGATTTGTCCATAAATATTTTGAGTATTTGTTTTGAATAGTCTATGTGCTAAGTGATTTTCATGTTAAGATTAAAAAATACTTTTTCTCATCTCAAAAATCTCAGAATTCCTTTGTGTAACCCCTAAAACTTCCTGAATACATTTCAAACATTTGTTTTCAGTAACACTTTATATTTTATCTGTTATTTTCTCTACCATATCAAGAAATGGGATCAGTCAATTTGACTAACCTCGTAACCACCAAAAAAATCAAAATAAATCTAAATTACTTTTTTTATCTTTCTAGAAGGACTTCAAATTGTAACATGAAACTACATTCGTTTATCCTAAGTAGTTTAAGCTGGTAACAGTATACATCTACTTATAATTAAATTTTATTGTTTTAATGCCCTTTTGATTGAACTATGAACAGTGTCTAATTACTATCTGTACCATTATAAGTTGTTAATCACTCGGGGAACATGCAGCTCAAGTTATGCTATTGAATTACATTACCCTCGAGCTGCTTGTGTGCATTTTTATTATATTATTATTTATTTTACTTAATATAATCTTAACTAACCTAAAAAGATCCCTATTTCAACATTTTAGTTTCTTTTATAATAATAAATAAAGAATAAACATGAAAAATAAAAAATAAAGTACTTAACCAATGTTATTTTTTCTTGCTGTTGATTGTCAATGACACTTAACCCTACATTTTTTAATACAAATGGTAGTAATGCAATAAATTATTTCTATTTAATTAAATAATGCACCAAAAAACATAGACTAATAACATGCAAAAAGTAAACAATTTCCCCTAACTCTTAAATTTTTTCTATCTTTCTAACTATGAAACAAGAGCTGTTACAAATTCATCCAAGCTAGTCGTTAGCTTTCCCATGGGAACGGAGCTTGTACTCTGAGCGAAATTGACAATTATCTGTTCAGAACTCAACATTATACAATACATCATTAGATAGATGAAAACCTTAGTTTTCTATTAGTTATAGGTAATATATAATTAAACGTAAGATAGAACTATAAACAATTCCTGAAAGAGAAGATGTGACAGGTGATCGTGGTAGGAGGGGGGCCAATTTTCTATTTGATATCTCTGTAACCAAACAACCTGGTCTTCAAGTAGGTTTATTTTTGTTCATAATTCTTCTTGAAGTATTGTCTTTTTCTTTTGACTGCTCACTTAACATCAACTTGACATCAGTGTTGTAACCTGTTCTAATAGTTGGGTGCGTTCTTTTTGATTATTTAGTACAAATAATGCCAAGTCCAATCAACATAATAATAAATTAATCTATTCTCTCTCTTCAAAAGTCTCTTACATGATGCTAAGGTTATATGTTGTGACACACTATGGTTTGTAGAAGAAATTAATCTTAATGATAAACCTGTTTATTGCTGCATTTCATCCATTTCAACTGCTATTAAGAAAACCTGAGATAAGATTGCTAGAAAAAAATAATATACTACACAGGTCAAAAACTATTCAGCTTGGTTTCAGATAAACATTCCGATACACTGACACATGGATGTATTTACCAAGTTTCTTGTCTGTATTGTTCATATTTTGACATAAGGAAAAAGGTTCATGAATTGGGGGTGTAAGTAGAAGAACATTCTCATCTCCTTCCACATGTATTTGAATCACAAACAATAGACTTTTCTGATACCAAAGTCACATGTGAGGAATCAAGAGAAACTTACAAAAAATGAAATAAGCACTGTTGATTTCACTGCTGAGGCCTCCTATAACTCGACATTTTAATGTCCCCAAATAAATATTATTACACTATAATGTCACATTACTTTTACTTGTATTTATAGCAGTTTTCCTTCTTACATGTTGACCCTGATTACATTGCATTAACATCAACAAAGTACTTAACCTTTGTGTAATTTGTGTTAATGTTCTTAACCATTTCCAAATTTAGTTTTACTATTGTATTTCTCCTTATATGAGAAAAACTTACCTATTACTTTTTAATTACTAACACTGGTAAAGTAAGATGAACCAAATCAAAATGTAAACATCTTGCAAAATAATTAAAATTTATGAGATGCACAGAGCCGTGTTCTAGAGAAAGAGGAAAACATACCTGTAAAATAAACTTGACCAGCTGCCTAGCATAACAGCACACAGTACCCACAAATATAAACAAAAAAAACAAGTGTATCCAAGACAGAAATAAAAAGGCAGGTATTATACATATATGTTGACAATAGAAACCTTAGACACATAAAACCCCATAAAAGATATTCAATTTGTATATTACAGATCCAAAGTGCAGACATATAATTCTTTGCATGGTCACAAGAACTTATACATTTAAAAACAAAATTTCTCTATTTTTTTTTTGCCATTAGTATGTAAACCATGAAGGGTGTTGTCAATGTTCTGAACTTCTATAGACATAGAACGAAAGTAGTAAGCAGACAAAACAAGTTTCTGGTTAGTTAAAAAACAAAGTAGTTTAAACCATGATATCTGGTTATCACGACATAAAAATATCATTCGAAAGCACAAGAATAAATCCTCAACAAAGTTTCTGTACCTTACTCTTTACAGTACTTACCATTGGTTGATATACAGATTGTGAAGATCCCCAACTTGAGCTGACTGATGCCCCAGCACCAGTAGTTGCAGCACCAGTTTTTGAGGGTGGTTTTGAAGAACCCCATTGGTGGCCTCCAAACCTGTAATTTGCAATGGACATCAGTTTTTAAACTAAAAAAATTAATAGCTCACCAATACAAGTGTTCTAAGTAAACATAGCAGGGGTAGACAATTATGTTAAAACTAAATGAATCACATTAAAACTAATACGTAAAATTCACTCACATCCAAAGTAAGTTCCAATTTCAAAAGATTTTTTGCCCCCAGATACAAAATAAAAGATAGATGCAAATACAAATTGTAGCAAAGTACCATTATTTAAAACGTTCAGTGTTAAACAGTTTAGGTTTAAATTTGTTAAGTCTACTAGCCTAATAGAATTACTATTATTATTTTATTTTTTAAAATTTCTATTTAATTATTTATCAACGAGGAAATATCAGGTATAAGTTGTAAAAAAATTGTGTAATAATTTTTACTGCTCAATATAATTTATGTTAATACCGAACTTCAAATCTGTGTTCTTAGACCTAAGAAAAAACTTCTCGGAAATATCCAAGTAGCCAAGATCATGAGGTCACAATCGAGAACAGTCATGAACTATAAAAATAAGCCTACACATAAATACTGTTAACAATGTGAAGTCAGCAAAAAATAGATCCAAGAATACAAAAGTGCAAACAAATAGAGACTTAGGACACAGTTCCTTTAAACTTTGGTGGGTGGAGAGATAATGTCATACCAGTTAGACTAGTTTAGCTATCACATACATTTTGATTAACTACAGATGAGATCTGTCCTAGTTTCTATTGTGTTTAAAAAAAAAGACTAACCATTTTAAAAATCTGCCAGATTGTCATATAGGACTTACAAATATCTGGGATTTTAATAGTAGAATTTTTTCTAAAGAAAAAGCCAGGTTCCTTTCTATTCAAATATGCACAAATAAAACTACCATCACAATTTATTACTTATCACTACAAAGCATAAAGCATGTTGAATTATGAAGTAGACCCAAGACACCCCCCACCCATTCTGTGACATTAATAATATCGATACATATTCATTACTTTTCCTTTTTAGTTTCACGAAGCCAAACAAGGGAGTACACACAGAGTAAAAATACAACAAAACAAGTAGATCAATCAAAGAAAATGGTGACTCATCACAGTTAACACACTACCCAGATGCGTGTAATTCCATTATACACGAAATAGGATGAGAAACAAAAAAGGTAAAAATAATAATCCATGCAGTAAAAAGCTAGAGTTCTTGACAAAGCATAAATAAATGAATTTTAATTCCTATTAACCTCTTTTCCTCAGATTTATAGGATATCTATATCTCTTTCTATATTTTGGAAGGTTTCATTTTATTACAATGTTTAACACACACACACACACTAGTTACAATGCAACCTACACATGAATTTAATATCGATTGTGCTAATATATAAAAATATGCACTGCAATGAGTAGAATAACTAATAAGAATAAAGTTTTGTTCATTGTTGAATAAACACTACTAAGAACAATAATCATACATGTATTCTTACCAGCTTACACAGTTTGTTTTCTTAAATAATATGTAACATTTCTCACCTTTTCAGTTGATAACTTACTTCATTTGTTGAGCAGGACCACCAATGTAAAGATTCTCAGCCAGACTGGCTAAACTAGAGTCTAGATCTCCCTTTACAATTCCTTTTGCAGTGGGTTGTGTTTTCTTTGTATCTGAAACTATTGTCGGTGGAATCCTAACACCACCTGTCACAGGTTGCGGCTGAAGTACATCTCCAAGGAGATCAAATCCTTGATGAGCAATAATAATTCAATATACAAATCTGAAGAACATCAGTAATATTTTATACAAATCACCCCCCACTTCAACTGTTCTAGTGTATTCATAAGTTTATTCATACTTCACTAAGTAGATGGCAAGTCTTCCTAATGTAAACTGAAATCATGTTTTGCTAATGGAAAACAATTTAATAAAAAATCATCTTTTCAGGTTCTCTGATAAAGACTAAAAGAGAAACTGTAAATGTTTTAACTTTTATCTAACAGAAAAAGTCAGATAGTTATAAAATGTTAAACACAAATGAAACTAGAAGCATTTATATGCTATGATCAAAGCAATTGCATATTTGTTGTTTTTATTTAAAAACTAATTTTATTTAATTGTTAATAAGCTTGTGAAATTACCAGGTAATGAAAATGGTTAAAAATAAAAGATTCTATCTAAGCTATGAATTAAATTAAAACTTAAACCTAAAAAAACATACATAAGAATATTCAAGTATCATGTATAGAAAACTCTTCCTTAAAAAAAAATATCTATTAATCAAAGAAATGTATCCGTTTTGCTTTAGATATTTTTCAAATTATTTATAAACGTAGTAATCCAAACAGTAACAACTGTCTTTTTAACCACACATTTAGAAAAAACTATGCATTTCATTGTTATCATGCTTTAGGATACAAACCATTTACAAAAACAGGAAATATGAAAATTAAATAAAAACCAATAAACAAAACTTACATGCAAAAAAATATATATTTTTTTTTATTAAAAATAACTCCAGACAAAGTGTGAACTGAAATAGAAATAATGCAAAAATGGTATTCATATTGCAAAAAATATAGAAACTTGAAAAACAACAGAATTGGAACCAAACAACCAAACAAAAGACATCTCAACATGGACACAACTTTGCAATCCAATGTCACCTGAACTTGAAGACCCTGCTCCAGTTAGAGGTTTAGTTGGAGAACTCAGCCCTGAGGTAGGAGTGGGTGAAACATGTGCTCCAACCAACACTGGAGAATCCAAATGAGGCACAGAGGAGCTAAGTGGAGACCCAGTTACAGGACTGACTCCAACTGGTGAGAAAGACTTTGCTGAAGACCTGGATCCTCCCAAGTAAGAAGATGAAGCAGGAGATGCAGAAGGTCTATTCATGGCTTTTTGGATGGTAAAATTAAGATCATCAAGTGCTGAAGACTTTGGCGATTGTTGGAAAGAAGAAACACCTTGTAAAGTATGAAGAGAAGACTGGCCATGATCTAAAACAGAACTTAGACCAACTGCACTAGAAGGCATATCCAAATTTCCAAAAGGAGAAGGTGGTGGTGTTGGTGGTGCTGGTGTTGTTTTTGATGTGGCTGCCACAAGAGAAGGATGTGTGTTTATTTCACCAAATCCAAAATCAGCTTCATCCATACTGAAGAGATCCATTTTTTCCTCGGACTGAGAAGGAACTTTAGCCACATTGTCCATGGGAGCAGGTAAAGATGAAAGAATTTGAAATGAAGAATCAAATGGACTTACACCTGGAACAACAGTAGGTCCAATAGGTTGTGGACTATCTCCCCAAACAAGATCTGTTGATGTTTCAGTTTCTGAAGCAACCACTCCATCCAAATGGTCAACTTGTTCACCAAAAGCAGGCTCAGGTGGATGAGACAATATTGGTGTAGTTCCTGCTCCTTTCATTAAATCTGCTGTTGGAGATGGGGAAGTTGATCTTCCATAAAGATCTGCAACAGGCAGCATTAACCCACCTCCCCCTAAACTATGTTCAGGTGAGGCTACAGTTAAAGAACAATAAAATCTCATCAAAAGCATCTCAAAGTAAAGATTCAAAATCAGTGTAAAGTTAACACAACACTATACAAATTAATCCAGGTTATTAATATATATTTATAATCTGTGGTCTACCATGCTTTATGCATTTTATTTAATATTATGCATGAAATTAGAATAAAATCTGTTATAGTCCCATTTACATGTGCTCAAATTTGTTTAAATCAATAATAAGTTAGCATACAATCCACATAATTATGTATTGTGTGTTTCTTAAATTACCTTAAAACTAATAAATGCATCATATAATGCTTGGCTAAAAAAGCATAATAAATCCTTTTTTTCAGTAACTTTCAGCTCTTCATGTTTTAGTGAACACTAAGAAAAAGCTCCTATAACTTCCCATGACTGAGTAATATTCAGTACATTCTATACAAGTACACAGTTATTTAGGTTTGGGTGCACAGATATATTGCTATCCAGTTACTTTTAAAACTTAAGCCTTGTGTGAACATTGGCTTTCACAGTGAATATGCATATACCCAAAAGCTATCAAATGATAAAATTTACAGTTTTGTTTGTGTGCAAATATACTAACTGTGAAACAACATGATAAGCATGCCATAAAGACTATCTTTCTCAGCTTTATCAATGACTTCTGGCTAATTTGCCTTAGATTTGCAAAAGTGCTTCATTTCATAGGTGAAAATAACCCATGCAAACTGTAACTGTAGCTGACCATGTAGAGCTTATCTTAACTACATAGGTCACACCAGCTTTGTGGATTTTTGACATTTTCCACTTACCACAGAGTCACTTAAATAATACAACTTCATGAAATAGATAAATCAGGTATACTGGTCGTTTTGGTGTGTTTTTTGTTGTTGTTTTTAAACAAAACTCCAACTTAGGGCAGACAGAGCTTGTAGCAAATAATACAGCCATATAACAAGAGTATTGTCCTGTTAAAACATAAATACCAAATGGATACAGCCATTGCTTTTTAGTCTTCAGCACAAAACAGCATACTTAAGATGCCTTTACTAAAACACACCTAGTTTTCCTTCTGATACTGATAGTGCTTCTATTAGTATTAGGCCTTGTATTCTTGCCTGTCCCACCCTTGTAACAGTGGTGGTGATGAGGACTTACATTACACTTCAGGTCTTTAAATTCATCTCCTTCTGACATCTTAACAAATAAGTTATCTTTCTCTTTTTTTATTATTCTATTAAAGAATGTTTCAAGCTAATTGATCAGAAGAGTCAGCTGTTACCAATACTTAAGTTGACTTGTCACAAGTAGCATCATCTTGACTAATGAGCATTTACAACACTAGTCAAATCTTACCATCATTGTTGAATGTTTAAATTTACAATAAACGTTTATATAAAGTAAAATTCACAGTTTTTGTATTAAATAGTCTCTTAATATCCCTAATAAAACATAATCAGAACTAACTACAATTCTACAAGCAATGAGTGTAAATTACAAAAACTTATGAATGTTTCACAATGAAAGCTTACACACAGTTTTGAATTCCTGCCAAGAAAACCTCATATATTATTCCAAGTATCAATAAGTACAAATTATGTTTATGCCCCCAGTGATGATATACTGTATGTTTAAGTCCCACAGATTTGATGATGTAGTATCTGTTGTATATTACGTCTGCAAGACTGGGGTGGATTTTCTAGTTACCAATGACATTTTGATCTATGGAACTGAAACTTTCAACAGCTCTAAAACTTTGCATGTAGCAAATGTTATACAAGTTTCATAAAAAAATAATCCGTCCATCCAATATGGAGATACCGTGTTCACATGGTCAGGATGGATGGACAGGAGTAAACCAATATGCCCTGTTCTGCTTTGCAGTGGGTGCATGAAAAATACACCAAAAAACAACAACAGTGTATCACATAAAAGTGGCATACATAAATTGTACCAGTGGTCTGTTCTTCATTTCCCCAAAAGGGGTTCCAAAGGCTGCATATATGGATCACCTGTTTTAATCACTTGCACCACTATACACTAGTGTGCTGTTTGTCAGTCAGTCAGTACGTCATTATACACTAAAATGACATCACATAAGGGATGCTTAATGTTGCAATTTCTACTGTCATGATGTCAGTAAAATGTGCTCTTGCCATGAATCACAAGAAGAATTATGCACACTGTAGGCTAAAACTCAGCATGACGTGAACTTCAAAAGCAAGAAATAAAATTATTTGTTACTCTTAATTTTGGTTTTATTTACTCTTGAAACAGAACACTTTCGTGGACCCTGCAGAAATACATCTAGTAATATGATATTCTGAAAAAATATTCATTTAAAACAAGTATAAAAACTAACAACTTCCTTGATGTATGGTACCTTTCACCTTTCAAATATAATTAGTCAAATGTTGTTCTAAACAACTGGCTACTCTCTATCTTTTTGCTGATGTTAAAGCACATCTCAGTTTTAAAACAAAGATTTTAGAGTGAATATAACCAGTCTGTAAGCAACAATTCATTATAAGAGGCACTATTTCTGTGGCAACACATTAATACACGATACTGAACCTAACATAAACATCCAATATTAAAAGGATAACTAGCTGAGTATATTTTACATTCTAAATTATTTAACAGTTATATTTCAAAGACTTTAACAGCCATGTTTAATTTTTAAAAATAGCTTGAAAAAGCTAAATACACACAAAGAAAAAAAGAATTTTATTAATCAAATATTCCTCCCTCTTCTTTATCTTCTTAAAAATAATGTTGAATTAATCTCAGCTATTTAGTGTAGACTACATAACCTCAACTATTAGAAAAGTTAAACCTGTTAATAACATGGAAAGCAAGTGATAAATATGAAAAATTAAGGTTAAGATATGGTATATAACACACACACACACACACAATCAAGCCACTAAAATTAAACAAATGATCTCACTACACAAAATAAATGCACTTTTTCAATATACACTGTTTTCAGGTACTGTAAAATAATAAAACGAAACATGCAATCTTTCCATGTCACAAAGTTACAATACACTCAGTTGGATGCACTGTTTTCTGTTTGAATTGAGTCAAGCAAAACAAACTCAAGTTTGTTTGTTTTACTACTAAGATTAATTGTATAATCAGAACTACTTCTAATAAATTTGTTCAGCAAAATGCCCTCTAAGATACTGAAACTAATGACATACAAAGAGTGATACTATCATTAAAGCTCACATGTATGATCACTTATTTAAAAAAAATTATGACAATATCTCATTGTGAAATGAGAACAACAATGTTAATATAGTACAGTATTGTTGATAAATACATAACATTAGAAGCCAGAAGAGAAAGAAAATTAATTGCTAATGATGTAAAGTCATTATCTACATCACAACTCGCAAAGTAGTCAACTTATCCATGAACACGGGGAACTCAACAGATGGTCCTTTACATGAAAGAGTTAGCTTAAATTGAAAGATAGCATGAAACTTACATTAATGCTATTATACCCAGATGGGTGCATCCTGCCTGGAGAGATGCATCACTGAATTAAAAAAAACATTGTAGTCATTCTTCTGTACACTTTTTGTTTTGAAAACAAAAAACTTCTAAGTAGAAATTAATTCAATAAAAAATCTTATTTATTGGATTTTATAACAAATTAAAAAATACCAATTTTTAATTCTAGTTTATTTTAGCTCTTGAAGAAGACATTAATGTTTTGAATTTGAATTATTTTCTGAGTACATCAACCAGCCTCATAGGAGGAAAGTTGAAACTGTTTGAACATGATGTTGTCATGATGTGATGTAATTGTCTATACCTCAGCTTCAGGAAGTCATAGACTGACGAAATAAACATAACAAAAGCTTTTTTCTATTCTTTACAACAGTATGAGCCAGTACGACTTCCAGTTCAGGGGACAATCACGCAAAGATTGGAACAAAGTGAGAAAACCTTAACTTGGTGATAAATCACTGCATGAAATTGTTGGCATACAATTTATCATCATAATTACAGTTCTGCTTTTTTTTTTAAAGCATGCTTTATCATTTTATATTTCATTTACATTGCAGTGTGACAGAAAAATGTTTTTCAAGGAACAAGATAAAGTAGGCTTAAATAAATCATTTTCAGCTTGACTGTATCAGTTTCATTTCATAAAGGCACTACATTATTGGCCTAAATAGCAATTTGAATTGGAAAAGAAAATTGCCCAAAATAAAGGTAAAAAAAATATATAAATGGATATAGAAAAGGCTTGAAACAAAAGTATATTAAATGAAACTCTCTGATTAATAATTTGCTAAAAAATTGGTTTGCTTATAATTTTGGAACTGTAAAGTAGTAATTTTTATTCAAAACCAGTTTATTCATAAGCATAATTAAACTACATGTGTGTGTTTTTTTCAAATCAAAACAAAAGATAACATTTACAGTTTTATAAAATAAAACTTCATGATATGATAATTTTTTACAAGAATGTAGGAAGACAAAAAAAAAATCAAACTAAAATTTACAAACACAAAGAGTTGTAATTGTTTCTTAAAAAAATATGTCATAATGAAATCTTTTCAAATTTTTGAAGTTGTGAATAAAAATATTTTACTCACAGAAGCTACATAATCTGTAGAAAGTGATTCTAAGGTATCAAACTATTTCATCCAGTAGTTTATTTTCACAAGGCAATAAAACAGCCCTTACAACTGGTGCGGGTTTGGTAGATTTAATTCCAACCTGTGGATACAGCCCTTTTCTCATTCCCACTTAGATTAGGTAGACAATATAACATCCACAATAATATATATATATATATATATATATATACACACACACACAC